TACCTCCCCTCCCCACCCCCCCATTTAGTATCATCAATAGTGCTTCTTCTGAAATCCTTATATAATCTCAGAAAGAAGCAAAGTAGTAGCTCAAGAGATACTCATTGAGACTTACCTTGTTCAGGAGTGACAACAAGTGGGATGCGGGTCAGCTGGTTGTGAGCTGACAGCAGGCACTGAAACCTTTTATTGAGCCTCTAATTGCACAGTTTGGAAGGAGACACCCTCTGGGTCTAAGCCCTGATTCATCACCACCAACTCCCCTCTTTCTCTGCTGCCAGCTTGTCTTACTTTTATTTCTTTCTTTAGGCAGATTCAGTTAAATCTTGGTTTCAGACTCATCCAAAGGAAGGGGAAAAGGTATCTTGGTTCACTTACTGACTTTATGAGGGATCTTTGGGGGTGGTGATGGCTTTTTTTTTTTTAAACCTAAGGACACAATTACATTTCTGTTTGATAAATCACAGGCTGGCCGGAGCCTCAGAAGTCATCTGATTGGTCTTTCTACTCAGGATGGACTGAATTTGACCCAGCCCAGATGGATGGGTGTCAATCATGTGTTTAAAAATAGAGGCCCTTTTTAACCATGTGACAAAAGTGGAGATACCAGTTGATTCAGGTGTTTCAATGCTCTGCTCTCCTTGCTTAGAGGCAGACTTAGGGGGGAAAAAATCTCGGCTGGGATGTGCAGCACTTTGCTTACCTTAGATGTGCTATTTTAAAAATGTGATTGATATCTGCTCTTTAAAGGCATTTTTATAATCCAAGGAGCTTAGAAATGAGCATCTATTTAACTGTGTTCTTGCTGTAAAGGGGAAAGGGAGACAGAAACTTTCAAGCTGAGGACAGGTAGGAGTAAGCCCCCAGATGCTGAATTGGCAAATGTTTTTATTTCCTCCTAGAACTGGGTTCTTCTTAGAGGAGAATATATAACTAACAAGAGAATTAGAATCGCTTTCTGTTTTAGATATTTAAAAAGAGAATAGAGTATGTTTTAAAACATTCGTGCCAGCTTGTAAAAGGATGTAAGAAATAGATCCACGAAAACAAGTGTAAAAGATAGACCAAGATAATGGAAGGGTGGGGTTGGAGGTAATTTATTATATGAGAAGTCTGAGACTAAGGAAAGCATCGATATTGATCAGAATCTTGTTTTATCTTGCTGATAATCAAGGCAAGTATATAAGGAAACTGAATGTTGGGGGAGGGGGATCTACATTGACAGTTTCTGTCTAGAAACACATTTCTCAGCATGCCCCTAAAACAGGGGTGGGGAACCTTTTTCCTGCCAAGGGCCATTGGATATTTATAACATCATTGGCTTAATATAATTCACTTAATATAAATTTATGTTGCTGTGAAAAAAGCTCCTAGGTTTATTGAATTTCAAGTCCTGCCAGCGGTGCCTTTGCAGGGCCAGACCAAATGATTTCATGTGGGGCCTAATATGGCCCAAGGGCCAGATGTTTCCCACCCCTGCCCTAAAAGGAAGACTTCTCCTGAGAATTGAGATTGGCATATAAAAGTCATTTTAATTCTCATCAGTCAACATCCCCTGAGAACCAACTATTTCTCAGTCACTGTACCAAGTACTGGGATGTTTAAAGTTGAGTAAGTTATGTCTCCCTGCCCTGGCGCTCACAGGTTAATCTCTTGAGAAATGATTGAAGGAAACTAAGTATGTTCAAGGCTGACTTGAAAAGAAAGACTCAGTGGTTGAGTGTTGATGTATGAACCAGGAGGTCAGCGTTCGGTTCCCTGTCAAGGCACATGCCCGGGTTGCGGGCTCCATCTCCAGTGTGGTGAGTGCAGGAGGCAGGTGATCAATGATTCTCTCTCATCATTGATATTTCTATCTCTCTATCCCTCTCTGAAATCAATAAAAGTATATTTTAAAAAAAGAAAAGAAAAGAAAGACTTAGAGAAGTTGTATATTCATATATTGAGGCCCCTTGTATAATAAACATATTCAGTGTATTTATGCTCACCTGAGGCCCTTGTACTAGGTGTACTGGTTACTAATGCGAATTTTGTAATCAAAGAAAACATGATAATTTCAAGAGAAACATCAGAAGTGCTTTATTCAAAGTAATGTCTATTGCTAGCTACCCATTTCCTCCATCTTTCAGGTAATTTGTGGATACCGTCCCAATAGAACTTTTCTTGTTTCGAGGCAAACCATTCATAGACCCAATTTTTCACTTCTTCGTAAGTTTTGAAGTGCTGCCCAGAAAGTGTGTGTGCCATTGATTGGAATAAGTGGTAATCTGAAGGAGCAAGGTCTGGTGAATACTTCCCAGGCAAGATCTTTTAATGTGTCTTTAACTGGTTTTGAAGTGTGTGATGGTGCGTCATCATGGCCCATTCTGTTCATTTTACGATCAAAGCATGGTTCAAATTGATTATTTGTTGTCGGTAGCGAACAGTATTAATGGTTTTAGAAGCTCATAATATACCACACCTTCCTGATCCCACTCCGCACTATTAACTGGTAGAGGCACATTCCGCATTATTAACAGGTATCCGCATTATTAACCAGTACAGACACATTCCGCATAACAATGTAGGTAGGGAAGTCGGCAAGCCCGATCCATAACTTTGGGATAAGGATTGGCTCTAAAGGCTGGGTCAATCCCGCTGGGGCGAGAAGTGTGGCTGCTGTGGCTGGAGGAGGCCCTTCCCCTCCAGCTCCCGACCCC